TATTTTTTACGTTAAACGGTGTCTAAGGAATTTTTCGGGCGACAGACTTCCAAAATAGTTCTAACGAAACTCCATCCATGCATTTTCGTTTCGATAACACCAATTTTTATTAGATCTAAATTAAAAAAAATCCCTGCAGCCATAAGTACTTTAGGTTTAGCATGCTCAATGATTGTTACTTTGAGGCCATCAGGAACCATCCATCAACTTTCACAGACATTCAGTTTGAATATTAGAGTATTTTGTATAGTTTTCGCCAGTTCACACGTTCTGCCAAATTTATTTGCATTGTTCACTGGGTTATTAACATATTTAATTTTCAAGTAGCTTTATAGGAATAATTTTCGTACAAATTAATAATAAATGGTTTATTTGGGAAAGAACAGTTCCTAGAAAAATATTACCACATAATAATTGTAATGATTATTTCCCATTAACAGACTAACCAAATGTCAAGAATTTAATATGAGTTGTAATATATATTAATTTAACATATTGTGGATTGAGGTATATGGTTATCGGATACTAAAATAAATAGATAAGTCATATGGAAAGGACAGGATGTAGATAAAATTAAAACCAGTATGGATGGGACCAAACTCGGACGGGGCCGACTACACAAGACTTGCTCGAAATAAGCTATATAGATTTAAATGACACTTGAAACGTGTTACTTGGTCGTTTAAATTCAGATATTTTTCACGATGTTGTTTGTCTTATCGATTAAAATTGTTAAAGGTCTTTCGAATTAATATTGTTAAACCACAGGAGTAACGTTATCATGAGACATTTGGACTATATGCTTCAAGTCTGTGGAAATTTGGTTATAAACTTTAAAATACGATTATGAAGTCTATGGGGTCAAAATATCTACCCTATTATCTACCCATTATTATTTTACATTTAATTTTGAACCATGTTTGACCTAATCTTCCCTTCCCTTGACATTCCAGAGTGTATCACAAGCCGACCAAAGCTGAAAAATTCAATAAAATTGAAACAAGAGTTGCATGGCTGCGCATGGGTAATTTGAAACCAAGTTCACAGCATATTTTGTACGTTGAAGCTGTGGGAGAAAAGGCAACATCAATGCCATCAGAAACTCTTGTGGCCTGGACGGATCCAGCCTTACCAGCCTTTGTGGATGTAAGTATAATAAAAAGACCCTTAGGAAGATACAATATAATTCAAAATAAAAATCTCTAGCCTCCTACGGTACATCCCGCTGACAATATACCCGAAGGTGGTTCCATGACCATACTTTGTCTGGCCTTGGGAAATCCTGCCCCCACTATTTCATTATATGTTGGTGGACATTTAGTGCGCCAGGATGCCTCAAGACATATGGTGACGGTTATACACAATGTGACCGCAGATATGGAGCATGTGTCATGTTATGCCGATAATGGTTATGGTGTGCCAATGCAGGCCACAAGGAAGGTTAATATATGCTGTAAGTATTCTTGTAAGCAATTAAAGTTTAAGCATGTAATAGGAACGTTACTAATTTTTATTTAGATCCCCCCAAAATCCAAGCCGCCGGCATAACAGTGGCCTCGGTGGGCAATGAAGTGGAACTGCGTTGTCTAGTCGATTCGAAACCCAAACCAAAAACCATTTTCTGGCGTGAACATGATGGCCGTATACCGGTCATTGAGGGTGGCAATTATCACATTATGGAACGTATCAATGAATCACATCCGAATTTATATACCATGGTGTTGCGCATTCACAAACTACAAGCAAGTGATGTTGGCGACTATTTCTGTCATGCTGAAAATCCATATGGTTCAAAGACCATACCGGTATCGGTACGTATGCGCACCACCCCCGCCCTCAATCATAATGTTACGGAATGTTGTGCCCAACTGAATGTTTCGATGACTTGCCGCAGTGCCTGCAGCTATTATGTTGATATTGATGCTATAGCTGATAAACCTGAATGTATTGTTGAATTTGATAAAATGATGCGTTGTGCCGCTGATGGTTCAGATCATCGTAGTTGTTGTGCTGATTCAAATGTACCACGTAAATGTCTGAATTGGTGTCGCGGAGAGCCGGTGCGTTCCAAAGAGATTTGTAGTTTGCAGTATGCAAGAACTATTGTGGGATGTTTTGAATCGAATCGGGATCGTCTACCAGGACCACCGGAAAATATTGCCGTTAGTGTGATATCGGATAGTGAGGTGGTTATAAAGTGAGTAATATAAACATGAAATATAATATATTAGAGATTAACGATTTTTTAAAGGACACAACTGTCCGACCGACAACTATTGAGTATGAACGTTTATTAGGAGTATTTAAATAAGTTAGCATATAAATACAGCTTCAATATATTAGTTTAGGGAAAAAGAAATCCATTATTGACAGATGGCTCTACTGTAGATTTATCGTAAAATATCGATTAAACAATTTCAGATTAACGCTCGTTGGAAGGGTGAAATTTTTTGCATTCAGTTGTAAGTTGCAAGGTGTTAAAAAAGGGAAGTGAACAAAGAGAAAATTCGGTACATTTAAAAATTTTTCATTTACAAAGGTGGGTAAAATTGTGAATGGCAACAAATCATACAACAAAACGGTGCATATTTGGCCCAAATCGGACATTTCGAAACATGTTAAATAAAGTCCTACATTTCATATAAATATAATGGATTTCTTTTTCCCAACCTAATATTTCCGTACAATTTATTTTAATTGCGCATCAATAACATATATCCATAAATATATAATCCGTCCAGAGATTATAGTAGGGGTTCTAAGTATAGTGTATTAATTGGTATGGTGTGCCTCATTAAAATATCGGATTTAGATATATTTTTAAATACGTCCCTTGAAAAGTTATGAAATAGTTGTGACAACACCTGGATATCTCGAAAAGCATGTGGTATAAAATTCATTTTATATATTTGAAGTCAATCTTTAGAACTCTGAAAAACTCTGAAAAACCCATGTAAAACTGTAATCAAAGTACAGGTGGCATTTATGATACGAATGAAATGAAAATTGACGCAGTCTTGTTCTTCTAATCTACTTGGAGAAAATCGGTTCAGATTTACATATAGCACCCATGTATAGGTTTGCCCGATTCCCCAATAGTTCACCCAGTTCACAATATTTGCCCGATTGAGACAACATTTTGCACGCGTACCGAATTAAGTATAGATAGCCGTATGTGAAATCGGTTCAGATTTAAATATATCTCTCATATATATATTCTTCTGATTTTTTTTTTTTTTTTTTTTTTTTTGTTTTTTGAAAGTCCGAAGTTTTGTCTGACAAGCTTCATTGAATTCGGTTCAGATTTAGAAATAGACGACGTCCGTTAGGAAACATTAGGTTATTATATAGTCGGTTCAGTCCGACCATACTAGTTTCCTTGCTGTTCTCTAAGAGGTTGGGGATATGACAAAGGACGGAAGCTCTTACATTTTCGGCTTTTTCAATTGCCAAAATTATAATCTGATTCAACAACTCAAACTAGTACAATGATGTAAAATTGGCCCTCACATTTATATGGAGGAAAAAGTCATAGCAAATGCTATGTTACAGACAATTTTTTAGTGGTCTATATTACAAAATACTCTCCACATTTTCCAGAAGATGTTTTCGCTTTCCAAGAACCTGGAAAACCAAATTCAGTCTCTTAGCTTCGAAAATCCGTCCAAAAATTGCCAATCAAAACAGTACATGTATGTGAGGGCTATACAAAAAGTTGAATACGTATTTTGAAACCCAAATACATTACCTTGCTCAATTAAGCATAAATTCAAGATTTTTGCTTCCACATAAGTTTAATATGCATAAGCATTTATTTCCAAGAAGTCTTCTAACGAAATGTTCTATGTTTAAATAACAACGAGTAACAATTCCCTGAAAACAGCCTTACGCATTTAGACTTACATTACTTAATATGCATGCAACATTTATCCGCTTAAGATACCAGAGAGTCAAGAAAACTTAGCCAAAGAAAAAGCGGAAACGTTTTCCTACTTTTCGATTTCATGTTGTTGTTATGGCACACATGTTTCTATTTTAAAAACCAAGAGCCAAGAAAAAAAACATAAAAAAGGAGATGACAACAGTAAAATCGTTTAAGCCGGATATGATAACATAACGGAAATTGCCCTTGCATTGAGGTTAGCAATTGTTAAAATGTTCCTACACTTCATTTCCTCCTTAGCAATATTACACAATAAAAGAGTTTCTTGTGAATTGAATTGGAGTGAATGAATGAAATAACGTGTGTGTGAGCATAAGAAATAATTAAATAGCTATGAATATTCATGAAAAACCAATTGGAATAGAATGTATGTCGAGGTTATGTTATTCAGGAACATATATATTTTGCGGCCAACCAAGTACTAATAGACCAACCACTTCAACTTCAATACACTCTCATTTACCATGACTAAAGCATTTCTAGGAATTGTATGTTTTTCTTCTTTTGGTTTTTGTCTTTCGTTTCATTTATTTTCTATGGATGTCTACCTTTAGTTCTTTTTGGATTTTATTTGGCTTGCTAGTTGGCTTTGAAATTGCCAAGTTAGCACTCGGTTGCTCCAATTCGAGCTGTTAACGCTTACACACTTTAGTGGTATTTTGCCAGAATGGCGGAACAATGGTGAAGAAAAAAAAAATGACAGCTGTAGTAGAGCAGTGAATAGTATCAGTGTTGTCCTACTTCAGTTTTCTTGGAAGTTGTTTGTACCCTCCACCATAGTATGGAGGGTATATTAATTTTGTCATTCCGTTTGTAACTCATCGAAATATTCATTTCCGATCCTATTAAGTATATATATATATATATATATATTCTTGATCAGGGTAAAATTCTAAGACGATCTAGCCATTCCTTTCCGAATTGAGATATGGTGCTGAAATTTTGCATAGGGTTGTCTTTTGCCGGTCCACGTTTAGGCATAGCTCCCATATAACGGTAACGGTACCCCCCAATTTTCGGTATTTTGAAGAACTCCGGTTTTCAACCAAATTCGCTGAAATTTGGTGCATTGGGTACTAAATGTCTCCACAGAAAATTATAACTATAGGTGTACTTTTTCTGGTAGCCTCCATATAACGGAATATTGGTAAATTTTTTCGGATAGCCCTATATAAGGGTACCGCCCAATTTTCGATATTTTGGGGTTTTTGATCGCGTTTTTCAATCGAATTCGCTGAAATTTGGTACATTGGGTACTTGTTGGCTACCAAATGTCTCCACTAAAAATTATAAAGATAGGTTAATTTTTTCGGGTAGCCCCCATATAAGGGCACCCCCAAGTTTCGGTATTTTGGGGTTCTTGAGCACGTTTTTCAACCGAATTCGCTGAAATTTGGTACAATGGATACCAAATTTCTTCACTAAGAATTATAAATATAGGTCCATTTTTTCGGGTAGCCCCCATATAAGGGCACCCCCAAGTTTCGGTATTTTGGGGTTCTTGAGCGCGTTTTTCAACCGAATTCGCTGAAATTTGGTATTTTGTAGTCGCATATGCTAAAAACTCTTCCTACCAAAGATTATTAATAGTCACCCCTTTTTGGGGTTATTCCTATATAACGCCCTTCTTATATTAAAATAGTTAGCTGATTAATTCCGTGTGTAACGGTTTACCCCATATAGGCATATTCTACCATAGTATAGGGGATAGTCGTTACTTGAAATAGTCAGTTTTACCCTACAAATTATGGAATTCTAAGACGATTTAGCCATCCGTTGTAATCATTCCGCTTTCTAAGGAAATCGTGATAAAAAACTCGAACTTGACGATAATGAAATATATCTTCCAGCATTTAGGCATCTACCCCCTATATAATTATACCTCCTGAAGGAAAAAATTGAGACACAAATCAAAAATATTGGGTTCGAAAGGGACATATGTTCGCTTATTTCTACACTATGTAATCTAAATGAAATCGGACGAAACTATATATGAGAGCTATATCTATATCTGGACCGATTTTCTCGAAACTTGGCAGACATCTCAATTCAGTACGTTATACTAACTTTCGTGCAAATCGAAAGATATATAGGGACTTTAGTGCACCATTTACCTGAAATCGGACGAAACTATATATGGGAGCTTTCTCTAAATCTGGACCGATTTTCTCGAAACTTGGCAGACATCATTCTAGGCTCAATTCAGTACGTTATGCCAAATTTCGTGCAAATCTACAGATATATAGGGTCTTTGGTGCACAATTTACCTTAAATCGGATGAAAAAATATATGGGAGCTATATCTAAATCGGAACCGATTTTTCCCAATTTCAATAGGGTTCGTCCTTGGGCCAAACAAATGAGCTGTTCCAAATTTCATCCTAATCGGATTATGAATGCGACCTGTACTTTGTTTACAATTTAACACCAACAGACGGACAGACGGACGGACATGCATAAATCGACTCAGAAAGTGGTTCTACACATATTCTCAAAAGGAACTATGGGTCTATCTCGTTTCCTGTTACAAACATATTCACAAAGTATAATACCCTGTACCACAGTGTGGTGAAGGGTATAATTAAGCGAGACCTCTGTATGTATTTATAAACATTGACCTATATTGGACATTTTGTAGGAAAATACCGAAAATTGGGGGGAACATTTAACATGTAAAAAACATGGACATATAATGATCGGTTTCTCCGCAGGTGTACGTCAATCTTTAAAATCGGTAAATGCCAAAATACAGCCTTTTCGGTTGGAAAAAGAGCAAAGACCTAAAAAGTACCGAACATTTATGCAAGGATGTATGTCAGCTTCAATTCACTCTGATATAAAATAAATATTATTTTACGAAAATATCAAATTAAATAATTTTATTAATTTGATTAATTTGAATTTTACCGACCAAAATTAAATGGATGTTGCAATAAGAATAAATTAAATGAATAAGATTATTGGTCCAATCTGCCCAAATCACCATCACACCAACAATTTCCCTTTGAGAAAACATTTTAACTACCCGAACGAGTTGTGTGAAGAAACACTTTCAAAGTGGTGGAAACAAGCGTAAAAGATAAAGGAATGGCCAAAATCATCGTCATCATCATTCCCAGCATCATGAGCAGCATCTAGACAAGACAGCAGAAACCACAAGCACTCATGCATGCATGAACACATTTTGAAAACTGAAAGGAAAATCCTTTTCAAAATCTTGTTAGCGTCTAACCACGGCCCCGCCACGGTGGGGATTTTGGGAAGCAAGTAAAAGCCTGAAAGCAAGGCTTCATTAGCGGATGATAGACATTTTATGGTTTTTGCATTTTTCTTGCTGTTGCTTTTGGTGGTGGCAACAAATTTAGTTGAATAGTGAATGTTGGAGAAAATAGAAGGACAACAGATTTTTTCCGGTAGGGCCCTAATTCAGAAAATGATAGCTATCTTTTCGGAAATTATAGTCATCTTTTTGGAATTGTGGATTTAATTTGCGATTTTAAAAACCCAATTAGACCAGACATTAATTAGATTTTCCTATGATATATAATATTTTGTTAATTTGAATAAACAGACTTCTTAGAAAATTTAATTGCGGGATATATTTCAAAACCCTTCGCCACTTTGTGTGTCTTCAAATGATGAATTCTAACAGACGTCGCATTTTTTTAAGGACTATAGCAATTAGATTGGACTTAAATATGTGATCTTTATCTACATATAAATCTACTTTAATCAATCCATAGCCATGTCATTCTGCAATCTATGAAAAATTCTATTTAATTTTAACAGGTTTATAGTCCTTTGTTTAAAATGGGAGACAATTATATACATCGATTTGAAGCAATCAATCGCACACCCGTTGATTATTTAGTGCACGATTAACATGACCGACTGGTCGAAAAAATATATGGAAATATGAATAGATTTCAACGAAAATCGCCACAGGTTAAGCTTTATTCAGTAACAGTACGTTTTGAAAGTCGTTTGCAAATCAGATATGTTTTGCGCAATAATATTTTCGATCAGAAAGTCCTTCGAAAACGTTCCAAATATGTCAAAACATGGACCTAAAAAATTACTAGGAAGCCTTATTATTATTATTTCTCTTCTTTTTTAAGCCACTTTTATCTCTTTCGAGTAGAGCTTAATTACCGAGGTTTTGCAATGAAAAGGTAAGCCAGGGGAAGAACCTACGCACCGCCGTTGTTTAAGCGTATCACAGTATTATACGATTTTGTGACCCCAAGAGTTTGTAACGCCGCCAAATATTGGTCGTAGACCTTTTAGTATACCGATCGTAATATCTCGACTAGCTGAGTTGATCTAGACATGTATTTCCCTCTGTCCATTATAATTTGTAAACACAATACGTGCGATAGTTATGGACCAAACGTCACGACGAGTTCTGGCAAAAGAAGACCCCTATTGTTATACCCTTCACCACACTGCGGTACAGGGTATTATGTCTTTGAGCATATGTTTGTAACAGGCAAAAGGAAACGAGATAGACACATGGTTCCTTTTGAGAATATGTATAGATTAACTTTTTAGGTCGATTTATGCATGTCCGTCCGTCTGTCCATGTTTAATTGTAAACAGAGATGGTCCATCAGAAACAGTGACGTAAATGACATACATTTTCGACGTATATTACATACGTCAGAAACGTCGGAAACCCATCCAAAACCATTAGGTTTTTGACAAAATACCTATTTCCATTAATGAATTTGGAAATTACGTATGCTTTACTGAAATCCATATAAAATTTCAAAAATTTTTTCTCCAAAAAGTTTAGAATTTTGTATTAGTTCTAGTAAGCAACAGACAGATATATGTAAAAATAATATATATTCTCGAAAACAACGGTATATGGTAATAATATTCGAATAAATGACGTTTTCTACATTTATTACATTTTATACAGGTATATGACGTTTTCGACGTTTACACCTTTTTGGCAGTCGAAAACCTAAAAATTCGTCATACGGACCATCCCTGATTGTAAAAAAAGTACAGGTCGCATTTCTCATTCGAATTGGATGATATTTGGCACAGGTCGTTTATTTGGCCCAAGGACGAACCCTATTGAAATTGGGAAAAATCGGTTCAGATTTACATAAAGCTCCGATATATATATTTTCGTCCGATTTTAGGTAAATATTGCCCCAAATGCCCTTTATATCCTTCGATTTGCACGAAATTGGGGATAGCGTACTAAATTAAAATCGGTTCAGATTCGTCCAATTTTAATTAAATGTTGAACCAAACTCCTAAAATTTGTCCGATCAAAACGAAATTTGACACAACGTATCAAATTATTGGGTTTTGTTAAAATTGGTGCAGATGCAGCCAAAGCTTCCATATGTGTTTCAAACGGGTGTCTAATTGATATTATATTTTTAACAGTGCGGCGTACCGAATAGCGTGTATCAATTTTGCTATAAATCGTTTTCCATAAATTTGTCACGTGGTACGCAGACGACTGTAAATCTGCCCGAATGAATTTAAATTTAGCAAAGGTTGCAGAAAGTGGTGAAGGATATCATATAGTCGACCCAGTCCGACTTTATTGCTTTCCTTGCTGGCTTTATTTGAGTTTTGCATGTAAGGGCGATAATCATTTGTATGATCCGTCTATCTTTTGGGAATCGAGCTTAATTATAGAAACCATTCCAAAATTTCGATGATATGGATGATGGATTTTTGAATACCGTTGCCTAAACTTTACTAAATTTTCAATTTTTTTCGGATGTATTTTCATACTTTATTGGGGCCTTTATAAGCGTAGGCCTTGATTATCTCAACATATGTATATTTTCCACATATAAGTATATAGAGTATTTTGTGTATATCTTTACAAAAACGACGACAAGCCTTTTATATTAATTTCGTTCCATGCATTCATTCGTTATTTTTGTTTTTCCATCATTGTCTACTCCCACAGATGGGATCCACCAACCAAAAATCCCAATGCTGTTGATGGCTATCGTATTTTCTACCATGAAGCGGCCATAATTGGTAACGATGTGACATCTAGCGAAACAATAAATGGCGGTGCTGGTGTTAGCGGTGCCGCTGCTGTTCTCGAGCCAACAATGCTGAATAATAATGCAACAAGCATGCCAATGGGTGGTAATATCACGGCACCACCGCTAAGTGGCAGTGAGGTGAGACGCATTGACGTCAAGGAAACCAGTGTGAATATAGATGGTCTCAAAAAGGATGTCTTATACGAGTTGGTTGTGAAAGCTGGCAATACCTATGGTAAGTTGAAATGAAGGATGCACAAGTCAAGTGCTCATGTACATTACGTGTATGTATGTGAGTTTGTTTTTATGAAGGTGTGCACGAAATTGGAAAATTTATGTACGAGAAATAATGAAATGGTTTTGGGTAACCATGAAACGTGAGCATCTTAAGTGGCTGGCACTTGCCATTAGGATTTAGAAAAATGAATGTGAAGTTTGTCAGAAATTTTATGAAATATTAAAATATGGCGGTAGAGGGATCAATCAGTTTTAAATTAAATTTCAATATAAAGTTCTAGATTAGTTTGGAAAGAAAATACAATTTGAATCAAAGATAAAAGGAACCAATATTTGTTCATTCGTTAGCAAAGATAAACTTCAAAAACTGTTGCCTACTTTTAGGCAACATATATTATTAATCCAACTCCAGCCTTTACAAGTTAATACTCTCCAAATAGTTTTATTGCTTACTTTCTCAGAAAATGTATTATTGACAATTTCAAAAGTCTATACCAAACTGTCAAGACATACCTTCCTGTCACACACACGTACTAATACATATTTATTATGTCTACTCTCTGGTTGCCCAGTATTTGTTACCATGTTTCGTTTTGTGGTCCCACCATTTCATATCACACACTACACTCGTTCGTTAATTTTCTTGTTTTCGCCTCTTTTCCAGGTGCCAGTGTTTTAACGGAACCGATAAAATTCACACTTGGCGAGCATCATGTTACCTCCGCCACAACATCATACTCGAATGCTGTGGGCACGATAAGCGGCATCGTTGCCAGCATTTTGGCGGTGCTGTTAGCAGCCGCCGCCATTATTTTCTACAGACGACATCGAGCAAATGGTAAGGCAGCCACTGGAGTGGCATTTGAGAATCCAACATACACTCGAGGTTTAGAACAAGTACAGGTAAGAGTTATGAGTAAATTTTTCTTACAAAAATTACCACAAAAACACTCCCTTCACACATACACAGCCAGCCATATGTAATACACCACACACACAAAATGCATGAAAGAAGGAATAAAATAAGGAAAGTAAATAAGAGCCAAGCTAAACAACAAAATTGAACTTATTGTATCAAAGCAGATTGTTGTTGTTTTTGTTGCTGTTATGTTGGACACATACGACGTGTTGTGTTTTTTAAAGTCAAAAAACGAAAGCAAGCACAAAATGAGTGAAATCAGTTGCAAAAGGTCGCAGGGAAAGATAAAACAAAGAAGCTCAACCAACAGTGGATCATAAAAGGCTAAATATGTTAAATTGTGGGTTAAATGGAAAAAGGATAGGAGTTAATGTGGTGGTACGGAGTTAATGTTGGGAATTTGTATGAGTTGTATTTCGAGATCGTTATTGATATTATAAACAATGGAAAATACTTTTAATTTGAATATATGAAGTAATGCCCCGAAATTCGTGTTGATATCGAACCTAATAATAACGTTGAACATTTCCGCGTATGGATTCGACGTTTATTATTAGCTTATCATATTTAAATATGAGCTTTTCTTTCTGTTTTTTATCTCGATATCCTCCGTAGGTAGAATGGTTACAACATATGGCTAAATCGTCTTAGATTTCCGTACATTGTAGGGTATAAACTGACAATTTCGAGTACAGAATATTCCCCATATGAGGAACAAATCAGTTAACTATTTTATATACACTGCATATCATAACTATAGACGCACCCTTAATTCAATTGGTATGTTAGTTGACAAATAAAATGGACCCATTAAGTTATTGTTCACAATAAAACGGTCAAAAACACATATTATTCAACAAAAATAATTAATTTATTCTTTATGGTTTCGCCGAATTCTGCATTTTCAAAATTGCTGGTGTTGCATAACTATAGGCGCACTTTTACAAAATTAGAAAAATTTATTTTTTAAAACTTAAATAAAATAAAATAACTTTTATAAATAATGGGTAGGGCCTCCCTTATTTTGAATAAGTTCAAACATTTTATCCATCACACTGTTGATCAAAATTATTCGCAAGTCTTCATCGATTGACCGCCATTCATCGATAATCACTTCTTGGACTTGAACGTACTCCATTGAATTCATTTGACAACATGGAAATGTCAAATAAAGCATTCCGTGGCTATAAAATGCTCCCAAGGCCATTAAGGAACCGCCACCGAAATATCGTATTAAGAAATAACGATATCTCG